GTGTCGATTTTCGGGCATTAAACGCGGGGACGGTGGCGGACGCATACCCAATGGCCCTTCAGCAAGAACTCTTAATGAGCGTAGGAAAAGCGAAGTACATAACGCTGCTCGACCTGCGAAGAGGTTATTGGCAGGTACCACTCGAGTCTTCTTCGCGCCTGCGGACAGCGTTTGCGTGTCATCGCGGACAGTTTGCCTGGACGGTAATGCCCTTCGGGCTTAAAAACGCGGCTCAGACATTCCAGAGGGCAATGAACGAACTGCTAAGGCCACACAGCGGATACTGCTGTGCATACCTGGATGATATAGCCGTATTTAGCGAAACACTCGAAGAGCACGCGGAACACCCGGGGCAGGTGTTTGAGACCCTAAAGCGGGTTAACCTGAAGGTCAAGAGGGATAAGTGCCAGATAGCTCGTCCATCGATCCGGTATTTGGGACATGTGGTAGGCCGGGACGGCATGCACCTGACCCTGAGAAGCTTGCAGCGATCAAAGGTTTAAAGGTGCCGAAGACTAAAAGAGAACTACGCAGCGTACTGGGCTTGTGTGGCTACTACCGAAGCTATGTGAAGGATTACGCAGAGGTAGCGAGGCCCCTGACAGAGCTAACGGGGAAGCGAATCCCGAACCAAATTCCGTGGTCCGCGGAAGCTGAAAGGGCGTTTCAGCGGCTTAAGATCGCACTGTGGGAGGCAACAGCATTATCGATCCCAGATCCCGAGAGGCCGTATTGGCTGTTTACAGACGCGTCCGCGGTCGCGGCTGGAGTCTGCCTGTCGCAACGTGCGGACGATGGTACCGAGATGCCGATCGCATTTGTGAGCCACAAGTTCTCTCCAGCTCAAGCGCGCTGGTCGACTATTGAGCGAGAGGCCTTTACAGTCATCTGGGGTCTGAAAAGGTTTGATTTCTGGCTCTTTGGCGCGCAGGTTACCGTGGTGTCAGACCACAACCCACTAGCTTTTCTCACCCAGGGCACTCTTCCAGGGGCTAAGCTTACCCGTTGGGCCTTGGCACTTCAGCGGTATCATGTAGTGGTGCAGCACAGGAAAGGCGTCGGAAAGGCAACGGAGATGCGCTTTCGAGGGTGCCTAATGAGTGCTAGGGAATCGGCAGCGGTGCTCCGGAGGTCGAGACACTAGAGGACTAAGCGCAGGCTGGACACTCAAGAGTGACGTGCGCGAACCTGTGGACAATTGAACAGCACCACGCGTTGAAAGGTCTATGTGCCTCAGTGAAGTGTATTGTTTCTCTTGTGCGTGTGCGTGGCATGCAGGAGTTATTTGTATTTTGGTTGAATTTGAACGACACCATGTGCCAAAGGGTGTGTGTGTGTTTCAGTGAAGTATTTTTTTTTTTGTGTATATGTACGACTGTAAGCATGTAGAAGTTTGTTGTTGTTTTACTTGCCTGCTTTATAGATTGTACTTGTGTGCACAGTGACCTCGTGTCAGTTTTTTTTTTTTCTTTTTTGCTATGTGGTGGGGTCCGTTTGGTGGGGCCCCAAGGGTTAAGCAGAGAAAATATTGCACGCGTTGCAGAAACGCCTCTGACGTTCAAGGAACTGCGAAGTATGGCCACAGGGTTGGGGACGTGCGGCGCCATACCTTTATGTTGTTATTCGCGCAGCTGCATTTGAGCGCTTGCGCGAATCTTGGAAAAGGCGTGTAAGGTCTGGCGTCCCAGGCCATGGGAGTGAGTCTTCTTGGTCTCAAAAGGGCGCGCTTCCCAAAAAGCCTATTCTCGGGAGACGATAATCTCGGCGTAAGCGCGACCCTTCTGGCAAGAATACCGCGGTCAATCGCCGCTTCTAGCAACCAGTTAAATGGTCCCCGGAATGCGGATTGCCGGCGGGTGACGGGAGGACAGTGCATAGCCACCCATCCGTCAGGAGTAGAGCACGCGGGACGGCTGTCATGCTGGACAGCGTAGTCGTTTCGCGGTAATGCAGGAGGCCCGCAGCCGAACGGCGCCACCATTGTGTGCGTTCGCACAGTTCGCGAAACGTTGGGGGCAGGCCGGTCCTTTCGTCTCTCTCTTTCCGACCGAGCAGTCGAGTGCGGGAAGAAGAGAGCGAGAGGAGGGGACGGCAACAAGTGTGTTGTCTGTCCAATAAACAGACTAAATTGCTTTGGTTGGCCGGGAGGAGAATCGGGAGGGGCAACCGAGGCATTAAAACCTGGCTTCCGAGTCCTCGCAGGAGGGTCTGGTCGCAACAAAGAGTGCTCTGCACTATCGGCTCTGCCGAGGCAACATGCGACGATTCCGACGGTCAAGTCTTGTAAATATGTACATAAGTTTCTGTATATAAAGTCGAGTTGTAACGTTTGAGATGTACTGGCTTCCATCGCCGAACAAGCAGCAGCAGCCACGACAACACAAGACGGACCCCGAGAAGCAACCAACCTTCCACTTCCGTCGGTAGCAACAGCCGCTACGCAGCTGGGAGAGCTCTGCTCAAGGGAACACAGGGAGTGGGTAGAAGGTTGAGTTTTACTGCTCGCTCATGGAGTTTTGCTCTAGCTGAAGTTCTTTGAGGATACGTGTGGAGGCTTCTTTCATTCCTGATATTGACTTCAAATGCAGCGCATTTAGCCTGACTGGTTATCCTCCCACGGCTCCACTCACTGTAAACAAGTCCACAGTTGTGGCACTCTGAAATCGGCTTCATCGCAAGTCCCTAGTTACGCTCACCTTTTTCAATAGAAATGGTCCCACTACATGTCCGGCATTGAGCCGTTCTTTCAAGAAGCATGTTTATCGTGGAGTCAACAACCCCGTAGGTAGCCGCCGATGGGTTCGAGTCCTCGTGCGCTGTCGCGAGCGTTCGCAGCTTGTGCTCGCTCGCCGAAGTTGCCGATAAGCTGCTGATCTTATCAGCACTCACTTTCTGCTGTTGCGCACAATCGGCGCTCGTCAAAAGGTTGTGTCTTTCCTTGTGCGCTGCCTATCGCCGATGTCGTCGGAGGCGGCCAGGGAAACAGGCGGAGACGATTGTGTTCCGTCGCCGCACCGTCCTGTACTTGGTGCGCGTCGGATATACTTGCCCCATTATCTCTTTTTGCCGTAGATTTCTTGCGCTTTTTTCCAAACTTGTGAGCGGTGCGGAGCTTGCGATACTGCTTCGGCATGATAAAAGGTTCAAGCCAGGTTCAAAACGTGGCCGAGAGCGTAGGCGTTACGCACTGGCCCGGTGGCTGCGGTGCGCTTCATCGGGCTGGTTCGGCGCGTGCCTAAATGTGAAAACTTGAGAAACGCTTGCTCCAGTTTCTCGCTAGCTCGCGCGGGTCCAGGAAGCCGACGAGAACTGTGACATGTGTGCAGGATACACTCGATGCTTCACGTGCGCTCTACTGCCGCACGCAGCAGACAGCTAGGAAAAACGCAGCTGAGAGCATAGGCCTACCGCACTGTCCCGGCGGCTTCGTCGAGCTCATTCAGCGCCGTACCAGTATACCGTCGAATATAGATACTATAGAGATGCTTGCTCTAATTTCTTGCTAGCTCACGCGAGTTCAGGAAGCCGACGAGTACAGAGTGACATACACCCGCTGCTTCGCGTGCGCTCCGCTGCCGCACACAGCAGAGAGCTCGGGAGGCCCGGCGAATCGGAAAGGGCGATTTAGTCACGTGTGCTCACCGCACCAATAGGCTCACATGACGGGGCTTTTTTTGTTTTTTTATGCGTGTTCACGGCGTGCATAGTGGACGAAAACAAGCGCAGCGGGATATGAAAGAAAAAGGGCGGCTCTTTCGAATGCGATCAAGACGGCTGCTGTAGCAAGCATAGAACGGCAACACCGCGGCGCTGAAAAAGCACGTTTTTCACGCGTCCATCGCCAAAATTACAGCTCACTAACGTCGCATAAACTACTCTCATGGCTAGATTACCAATTTAGGACGTGTGAAAATTGGCGAGATTATGCAGCGATAGTGGGAAAATCGATAGTATTTTCGAAAAATCGTATTTTTTTAGTGATTTTCGGTTTGAAAGACCCGCTTCTCCCCTTAAACCCCGACTGCACTCATTGAACCGAAAGCAGAGGTGTAAGGTCCACATGTTCATAGGCCAATTATTGCTGATCAGACCTTTTAAAGAAATCACGAATGGCCGACTGCTTCTTTGCTATATGTGCCTTCAGCACAAAGTCTTCTATACCAGTTGGAAAGCATCATGGTTTACAATGCATGTGCTTCATTTAAAACATTTGTTTACTAGCAAAGTCTTTTTCGTTGAAGGCCTGAGGTGCTTACTTTTCATATTTAGACTGTTCGGATTTTATAAGTACACTAACTTTTAAATACTAGCAGTGCGAAAGCAGCAGATATTTTCCTGTATGGAACCACAATTAGTATGAAATAACTGAATGATGGAGTTGGAATTGAAGGCTTTTAAATACATTGAATGAATAGTAGACCAACCAATAGATTGAATTTTGTTTGAATTAACTAAAAGTATGAATTATCAGAGTTTGAATTATCGCGAGTCTACTGTACAAGTAAGAGTAGAATCAGCAGAAATAGTGTATCATCCAAAAATGAAATATCGCAGTCTGAAAGCAATATACGTGGTGAACTCACCCAGACATCAGTTTTTCTTTATAAATAGAGGCTTTAGTAGTATCCTCAGTTTTGAGGTTGTGATTACTGTACAAGAAAAGTTACATAGGAATTACTAGCTCCATAGGTTTGCTCTATGAAAAGACATGTGCAAACCTGGAGCGAACTGTTGCAGTCTGTTAAAAGACCTTGGAGTGCAGTAAACAACTTTATCTCAACACGTTGTGTAGTGATTGACATTATTTATACTTTCCTAATTTTTCCAAGGCTTGTGCTTGTTTGTGTCCTGCACTATTCTATGAATGTTGTCTGTTAGCACTTCTAGATAGTTATGTTCAAAGGATGTGTACCAACTACACTGCACTGCACAATTGTTACATAAAGGAGTTGAGCGCAATAGCATTAGCCATTGGGTACCACCCTTGCTGTGCTTTGCAGAATGTGGCCCCGGACCCACGGACTAGCTGTGGCCCGTACCAGCCGTCGGAGCAGCTGTCTCCAGACAGAGATGCCTGTCCATCCGCAGCCAGTGAGCTTAACCACGACACCATTGGCATGGTGGTCATCGATACCAACAAGAGGCTTGCAGCAGGCACCTCCACAAACGGAATGAACCACAAGATTCCTGGGCAAGTTACACGTTGTCACTGTAATCAGCCTCGGCAATGGGGTTTTTCGGTGTGTTACATGATTAATTCAAATTGGCAGCTTGCACATCTGAATGCCACAATAATGTGAAAAACTCATAGTACAGCAATAGCAAGGCTTTGTTGGCTGATTTGTATAAATTTTGATATTTAAGCTGTAGTGTATGCTACTCTCAAGGTTTCATTAGGGAGCTCAGTATTATCTCTTCATTAGAACAGACCAAGCACGGCAGAATCTTGGTGACACGAATCTCTCAACGTGCTGCTGTGCTGTCACAGTGGTTACAGTGCTCGACTGCTGACCTGAAAGTTACAGGCTTGATCCCAGCCCTGGTAGTTGCATCTTTATGGGCACGAAATGCTGAAGGCCTATGTATGGTGCGTTGCACATTAAAGAATGTCAGGCGGTCCTAGCTTCCAGAGGCCCCCAATATGGCGTGGCGTGCCTCTTCTTGTGTTGCAGTTTTTGCATGTGAAACCAGAGATAATACTATTGATGTTATTGTTATTGGAATCTCTCTGGGTCACGAAAAATATTCATATCAGCTGTATTTTGTATCACCCGATACTGTGTATATCTGGTATGCTAAGTCAACAAAAATCACAGTGACAAGGTTCTTAGAGAAGCGAGGACCGAAGACCACTCACTTTTGGCAGAAAAAAATCTGTGATATCCCCTGCCGCCTATTTTTGGGGAGGTCAGCAAGTGTTTCGTGGTCTTGCATTTCTCTTCTTTTCTTCAATTATTGAAGCTTACAGAAAGGCTAACATGGCGTTGCAGGTGAAACTAGTGACATGGTGAGCACTCTTGGCATAATTTGAGAAGATGGGTCTTTGTGATGCCTGCTGGTTTGCACTCCTACATGATTTTGTTGAACTGAGCTTGAGTTTGTTTAGGCAGCTGTTGGCATAAGATGAAAGCGCAAACAATGTGACCCATACATTGCTTAGTGGTGGAAAAAGACTGTGCAACCATTCAGAAACAAGAGAAGAAGGTCAACATCTATACACGTTTTATAAAGCTATAGTAATGTGCAACAAGGAAATGTTTTTACAAACACTAGTGCTAATTTATTTTATGAAAACAGTATGCTATATATATAAAAAAAACTTAAAAGCAAATACTTGTAAAGACTGGAAGGAAAGCGGCATACCGTATAATGAGTGTTAAGAGCTGAGCAAAAGGTAATCTGTCACCTTTTTCCTGGGGCTGTTTGTTGAACTGCAATACTGAATCATATTGTGTTGTTTCAGCCGAGGCACTTGTTCAATGTTGCAATTGTTACAAAAGCATGTTGATGGGTATTGTGCCTTTTTCTACGGGTTTAGTGTGTTTGTCTTTGTATATTCAAGCTAGAGGGGCACATAAACATGCCATGCTACGTTGGACATGCAAAGTCTTTTTGACGTACATCAGCAACACAGTGTGAGCAAAAAGCTTATGGATTTGGTTTTGAATTTTTACTTATGTTGCATCAGTATCTATGGTGGTAGGCCACTAATGAAAAGTTTATTAAAAGAAGGAGCCAGTGTCGAAATAACTTTTTCTTTGGAGTATGCATGTCTTTTTGAACTCAATCAGTCATTTAGAGTTCAAAATATCTACTAGTCATTGGCAGGTAGTCTGCGTCAAAGAATGCTTTAAAACACTGGTAATCATGCCAGTTCTGATAAGTAATTGAAGGCCGGCTTAATTCAGTAAAGCTGTGGCATTTGTGTAACTGAAGGTTGGAGCCATGCAATCAACTATGATAAATAGCAAACAGCAAATATTAAGGAAGTAAGGCTAAAAAAACCAAAAAGACCTAACATAAAAGCCAATTTATACTGGAAGATGAATGGTGAATTCAAAAGCCAGATTTTTTTATTCTCGTTGACTGCACGTGCACGCACACACACGCACACACACATTTAAAATTATTATATGAAATATCAGATCAGCGTACACACTAGAAAAATGTTATGAAAGTTTTCGTCACTTGAGCTGAAGGAAAGTCTTGTTTTGAGAAAAATATTGTTACGAGTAACTTGTTTATAGATCTATTTACAGCGCACAGAACTCGACGAGCAAGATTGCGCCAGACCAGCATCCAACGAAAACTGACTTCGTCCTCCTCTTTCATGCAGCCGTGTTTAGCGACTGTTTTCTATCATAACCCCCGGCGGCACAAGCACCGTCCTGGTGCTAAATTTACGCAGATGATGTCGAAGGGGGGTAATAGGGCTTTAGCCGAGCCACGTGAACGGTGTCGCTCGGAGCTGACGATGACTTTGTTGGATCGGTTGGAACAATCTCGTGCGTGACGTCTGTCACTTGGCGAACGATACGGAATGGTCCAGTGTAGGGCGACAACAGTTTTTCAGACAGTCCCTTACGCCGAGTAGGTGACCAGAGGAGCACGAGAGAACCCAGAGAAAAGTGCACGTCTCTATGGTAAGAATTGTAGAGCTGTTATTGGCGCTCCTGTGAAGCCTGTAGACGGTTACGGGCGACTTGGCGTGCGTGGTCGGCGCGGGGAATGGCTTCCCCAGCATATTCAGTGGCCGCAGGTAGTAAAGTGTCTAAGGGTAGAGTTGGGTCCCGGCCATATAGTAGGTAGAAGGGCGAATAGCCAGCGGTGTTGTGACGAGATGAATTGTAGGCGAACGTCACATACGACAAATGAATGTCCCAATCATGGTGGTCTGGCGCAACGTATTTGGCAAGCATATCGGTTAGGGTCCTGTTAAGGCGCTCCGTGAGGCCATTTGACTGGGGATGGTACGAAGTAGTAAATTTGTGCTTGGTATGGCAAGACCTCAGGATTTCATGAACGACAGCTGATAAGAACGTTCGGCCACGGTCGGTGAGAAGTTGACGGGGAACACCGTGCACTAATATTATGTCGTACAGCAGAAAGTCCGCAACGTCGGTAGCGCAGCTGGTCGGGAGTGCTCGTGTGATTGTGTACCGCGTCACGTAGTCCGTGGCAACAGCAATCCATTTATTTCCGGCTGTGGAGAGTGGAAAAGGGCCCAACAGGTCGAGACCAACTCGAAAGAAAGGCTCGTTGGAAACTTTGATCGGCTGAAGGTAACCGGCTGGTAGGAAAGATGGCTTTTTGCGACACTGACAGGGCTCACAAGCGGCGACATAGCGTCAAACAGAGCGGGCAAGCCCAGGCCAAAAAAAACGATGTCGTACCCTATCGTATGTGCAAGAAACGCCCAAATGGCCCGTCATGGGAGCGTCATGAAGTTGATGCAGGACAGTGGAACACAGGTGCGCTGGGATGACAGGAAGTAAGTCTGATCCGAAGGAATCAAGGTTGCGGCGATATAGGATCCCGTCTTTCACCAAAAACATTCGTAGGGACGGGTCGCGAGGCGTTGACTCCAGTTTGTCAATGATGGCTCGTAAAGAAGCATCCCGACGTTGCTCTTCGCCAATGTTTAACAGCTGCGACACGGAAAAAACGTCCGTGATAGCGTCGGTATCGGTTGCTTCGTCGACAGGGTAGCGGGATAAACAATTCGCATCCTGATGTAATCGCCCTGTTTTGTACATTACAGAGAACGTGTACTCTTGAAGGCGTAGAGCCCAACGAGCGAGACGTCTCGTGGGGTCCTTCAGGGAGGCTAGCCAGCAGAGCGCGTGATGATCCGTGACAACACGGAATGAGCGCCCATACAGGTATGGGCGAAACTTGGCGACTGCCCATACAAGGGCGAGGCACTCGCGCTCCGTGATGGAATAGTTGCGCTCGGCTGGAGATAGCAGTCGACATGCGTAGGCTATAAAACGGTCGTGTCCGCGTTTTTGCTGCAATAGCACACCTCCTATGTCGTGTCCACTGGCGTCCGTGTGAACCTCGGTTGGGGCTAATGGATCAAAGTGAGCCAAGATTGGTGGCGTTGTAAGCAGTGTCGTAAGTTGCGAAAACGATGACGCTTGGTCATGGCCCCAGGTAAACGAGCCGTCTTTCTTCAAGAGGTCTGTGAGTGGGCATGCAATGGTCGCAAAGTCCTTAACAAAGCGTCTGAAATATGAGCACAACCCCACAAAACTGCGGACATTCTTTGTGGTCTTCGGAACGGGAAAGTTCGTGACTGCGCGAATTTTCTCTGGGTCTGGACGCACGCCTTGGGCATCGACAAGGTGACCGAGCATGGAAATTTGACGACGAGCGAAGCAGCACTTGGAGGCGTTAAGCTGGAGTCCGGCTCAACGAAAAACGTCCAGAATAGCTGACAAACGATCAAGATGAGAGTCGAATGTGGGCGAAAAGACAATAACATCGTCAAGGTAACACAAGCAGGTTGACCATTACAACCCTTGGAGCAATGAGTCCATCATTCTTTCAAATGTGGCTGGTGCATTGCAGAGTCCAAAGGGCATCACCTTAAACTGATAAAGACCATCAGAAGTGATGAATGCGGTCTTCTCGTGGTCCATCTCGTCGACGGCTATCTGTCAGTACCCTGACCGAAGGTCAATAGTTGAAAAATAAGTGGCACCGTACAGGAAGTAGAGGGCGTCGTAAATGTGAGGTAAAGGATAAACGTCTTTTTTGGTAATTTTGTTAAGGTGACGGTAATCGACACAAAAGCGCCATGTTACATCTTTCTTTTTAACAAGGACGACTGGAGAAGCCCAGGGGCTGCATGAAGGCTCGATAATGTTTTTCGCAAGCATTTTGCCGACTTCATGTAATATTGTACACTCCAACGCAGACACACGGTAGGGGCATCAGTGAATGGGGGTTGAATGGCCAGTATTTATGCGATGGGTGACAATGGTCGTTTGGCCTAAAGAGTTGCTTGCAAAGTCGAAAATGCTATGATAGCCCTCAAGAACGTGGCAAAGCGCTGCAGCTTGCTCAGACGTGAGGTCCGATGACACCATTCGCTCGATGTCGGCGTCCCAAGAACATGATGGAGTGGAACCACTGACTGAGCTGCAGCAATCGTCAACTCTGAAGGGCTCGACATGGTTATCTTGGAGAGCAGTAATTTTGGCCAGGGAGATACCCTGTGGCAGAGCTTGGGTGGTGAGTGAAAAGTTGACCAGTGGAAGGAAGGTGCGGTTTCTCTTAATCGTCAGAATCATATATGGCACAGCAACCCCATGCCTAAGCATCGCTGCAGGAATCGGGGCCACCATGTAATCACCATCAGGTACTGGCGGCGTGGAGGATAAGTCGACATGTGTGACAGAGTTAGGAGGGAGGCGCGTAAAATCAATGCAGCAGAGGCTGGTTTGCGGTGGGCTAGGCGGGTCGGAAAAGAGGGGTAAATCGAGATGGAGAGAGCCAGCTGAACAGTCTATGAGGGCAGAGTGCATGGCTAGAAAATCTATACCGAGAATGAGTTCATGAGGGCAATGTTCGATAACGGTGAAAAGAACGACAGTGGTTCCACTCCCCAATAGACACTCGCGCAGAGCACATGCCAAGAATTGCGGCAGTTCCTCCATCGGCGACCCGTACAGCTCGGTTGAGGGCGGGCGTGACAACTTTTTTAAATCGGCGGCAAAGGTTAGCACTCATAATGGACACATGCGCGCCAGTATCTATCAATGCACTGACACGTACATTGTCGACAGTAACGTCCAAAAGGTCCCGGTTCGTTGTTAAGGTTAATCGAGAATTTCTTACGAAGGTCGTCAATGCAGCTCCACCTCCAGAAGCTGCACGGCCTAGTTTTCTGGTCAAAGATGCTGCGAATAGGTCGGGGAGGCAGCACGGCGTTGTGGGGGCGACCGGGACTGATGACGAGCAGGGGACGATGACCGGTCATAGCGAGGTCTGCTCAGAGGTGCTGTAGGAGCGAAAAATGTGGTCGGCATTGATGGAAAAAGTGATGGGGACGACTGGCGAGCAGAAGTGGTGTGATACTGAGGTGCATAATGGGACGGTGGAGCCCAGCGGCTGCGGCAGTGACATGCGATATGACCAACGCGTCGACAGTTGAAACATATGGGCCTGTCATCAAGGGTACGCCATTCGGACGGATTGCATTGTATGCGAGGAGCAGAAGGGGGACGAAAAGAAGGCGCAGCAGAGTATACGGCAGGTACAGGATGTAGGCCGACATTCGATAGCTCTTGACGAACAACGGCTTGTATCAAAGAAATCGTGGTCGGGGAAGGCGCAGGCGTCGGTAGTGGCGTGGCTACCGGTTGTGCTGCCTCGACCTCTCGACGAATGGTGCGTGTGAGGTTGTCACATGAAGGGGCCTGGTGGAAAGGGTCGTCACACGAAGAAGTGGCCGCTGTGTTCGGGAGGCGCACGATGTTTTGGGCTACACGGCGGGCTTTAGCTCGTTCGAGACGTCGGCATTTTTTAAGGATGGTTTCGATGTTCGAGACGTTGTTAAAAACCAGCAGGTTGAAAGCATCGTCGGCAATGCCTTTCAAGACGTGGTTAACCTTTTCGTCTTCCGACATGGACTGGTCGGCCTTGAAACAAAGGGCCAAAACGTCAAGAATGTAGGAGACGTCCGATTCGGTAGAAGACTGGGCCCGTGTGGCAAGAGTCTTCTTCGCAGCGAGCTGACGACCATATGAATCGCCAAACAGGTCACGTATCTTTTCTTTGAAAAGATCCCAGCTCGTTATGTCGGCTTCGTGGCTTTCAAACCATGTTCGGGGAGTGCCATCCAGGTAGAAAAGCACGTTGGCGAGCATGAGCATGGGATCCAAGCGGTGAGTAGCACTGACGCGCTCGTACCGCTTCAGCCAAGTGTCGAGATCGATCGTACCATCACCGGAGAAAGTGCCGGGATCCCGGAGGTGCGGGAGTGTGACGTAGGTGGTGGCTTGGACTGATGAGGGCGGCGTCGAGGAAGTACCAGCAGTCGAAGCAGTCGAAAGGTCGCAGATAGTGCGACCGCTGCGCGTCTCCATCGAGGTACGGGGGTCGTCCACCTCCACCAATATTGTTACGAGTAACTTGTTTAATGATGTATTTACAGCGCACCGAACTCGACGAGCAAGATGGCGCCAGACCAGCATCCAACGAAAACTGACTTCGTCCTCCTCTTTCATGCAGCCGTGTTTAGCGGCTGTTTTGTATCAATATAAACAAGGACAACCTAGTAAAGAGGTCAGAAACATTACATAGAGTCCTAAAATGTACGAGGTTCATAGCTGGGTCCCTCTTGAGAAGCTTTAAATTTTCTTTTTTGTACACAATATCTTGTGTCTTCGAAGTCGCTCTATAGCATGATTTGAAAGGCTGCTTTGCCAATGAATCCCTTTTGAAACCTGTGACACGCTTCTTGCGAATCCGTCACGACTGTTACCGGTGAAGGACTTGAACTTATTGCTAACACGGTGCCTCTGAAATACACGCTTGAAACCACAATGAGCACTCCCAACCACACAACTTGAACCTGTCCCTCAGTTAGAGCATTCCTCAAGATTTAGGGGTGTGTTCATGCATTCACGACATGCCAGCGATGAAAACATGAAAGACGGGACGTCAGCTTCCACTATACCGTTTCCTTGAAGCATAGAATCCTGTAGCAGAGCTTTGCACGTTTCTTCTTTGTCAAGGAGGTAGGGGGATGTTTCCAAGCTTCTTCACAGTCGCCGAAACACCTGCGTGGTCATGTATAAATTCCCAGCGGTTTTAAGATTCTTTGTTTTCTGTGTTCAGAACTTAGTCATGCTGGTAGAAACATAGCTTAGGTGGCCAAAATACGCAGCTATGGTCATGCTGGTAGAAACATAGCTTAGGTGGCCGAAATACACAGCCATAGCCGCGTTGACACTTGGGAAATATGACAGAACGAAGCATGTCACGAGACAAGCATCTTGCATCCCTCTTGTGACCGTTTTAGAGATACGAAAACAATTAGAAATTTAAATTAATACATAACTGTATTTTTTAACGCTAGCTATATTAAAATTTATAAATAATTTCAAATATCATTATTGTCACGTGGTCGTGACGTCGATGAAAGCAGCAGCCGGTGGGTCTAAGATGAAACTGTTTATTTGCCAGGACTTGTGGCCGGTAAAGAGAAAGTCAGATAATAGCAATACACACTGGCACTGATAGTGGTGTACAGGTTGTCGGCTATCGATAATCTGACAATGGGTGTAGCACATCGTCATTTATACATGTGCCATCGAATATTCCAGTGTTATCACTAGCAGCCACATAAGTTCTAAAATAAACTCTGATGTTCGCGTTGGGCACGTAATTGCATCCGAAGGTTCTAAGATTATCTCGATGGTTCTTGGTCATTCGCTGTGGTTTGCGCATGGCAGCACTTTAATGTAATGGGGTGATAGCAAAACTTGAAGGAGCGTGGCAATAAAAAGGGAACAACACATACTTTCGAAACTAACGCAATGTGGTTACAGCTTTGAAATATAAGCATGTGGTATGAAAAACTCGCTGTAACTCTCAGGACGATTGGAGGATAATTTTGGTTGCAACATATTTTTGAATTTTAGGAATACATAAAAAAATTAAAAACGGCCCACAACTCTAGTTTGTGGAAAACTCGAGAGGAGATGCTTACTTCTTGCAAGTTCTTGTAGACAATTTTTTGAGGCATTGGCAGGAGCCGTTCACGTTGATCTAAAGAGTTGCTTTTTTCAAGTTTTCTGTTGTTTTGTCCAAGTTTAAATCACTAATATTGTGTGCCTTTCACATAAAATCACAGAAGCTATTCCGCCTTTGCTCTTCAGTCTGCATGACTTCACAAACTTAAAAATCAACAACTACAGCAGTTGAAACAGATGCTAATACTAAGTTTTTTTACGTCTTTGAATGGCACTCGTGCAAATAAGCGCCAGAAGTTCAAGTAAAACAATTAGTCTGGCCCAATTTAAATCCAGCTTTGCCTTGAAAAAGGACACTAGATTTTAACCCCTGGCGCATCTGAAACACTGTAGTGTCCCGATTGGTGCATTGCAGCCGTATAGGAGATTCGCCCATCCCTGGTGCGGGTGCGTACGCTGACCAGGAAGTGGGCGGGGCTGCAGCCACTGGCGATGGCGACATTCTCATGCGCTACTTACCAAGGTGAGCTGCCTGTCAGGGAGCATGCAGGTCGACTGGTTAAGTTTGAGGCTCTTGACATAAAGGCCGCTTCAATGCGTGGCGTCGGTGTGTGTAATGGATTTGTTGTGCATAGACTTGCGCTTCACACCTGCCGATAAGAATGAATAAAATTGGCACTTCATGGCAAATGTGAATTTCTACTCTTTCAAGTAACCCTTGGTGCTTATAATTGAATGAATAACCATATAGGTTCCATAAACTACTACAGTATAAAATTGCAGTTAACTGCAGACTGTGTTACTAGGCTAGCTTTTTCTTAATATTGTTGCCCCAGAAATTTTTTACTTCACTAGAAATGAAGTGCAGTAATCTTGCTAAGCTTCATTATTTCTTTCCTTCGCATTATTTTGAACAATCGCTTATGCAAAAGTTTAGTTTGATTTTTCCATGTAGATGCTTCTTAAAACCAATTACTGTAACATGTTGCATTAGTTGCTGAGGCGTAATAGTAAATAGTCATCATCGTGTAATGCAAGCAATTTAAAATGTGCACTATATGTGTTTCATATGCTATATTTAGGGTTCCCTGGTCAGCAAGGCCTTTACAAAATGTAGTATGTCAGGTGTCATAACAGCTCAAGGGGAAGCACTATGCGGTGTATAAATTGGAAGAAAATAACGTAAGGTTTTTTTTTTTTATATTGGTACGGGTGAGAGATGTTTATTGTACAGGCGGGATGATAGATGGTTGCAGAAGTCAGGCCTGGCACAGAACTTATTCACTTCTTTTTCCTCTATTCTACTTCAACGAAAGTCCCGTATCATTGACGATGCCCACTGGGCGAGTTAGTCAGTGTTGCGTGTGGTATGGCTTCAACCGGGCAACATGTATGACGTCAGTTTTCCTAGAGCGATGGCCAGAAGATGTGAGGCGTGATATCACGTACGTAACGTCACTAAGGCGCGACAGAACGACGAAGGGACCTGTATAGCGGGCCAGACACTTCTGATACAAACAACTCTTGCGATATGGAGTCCCCAGCCACACCATATCACGTTCGCTGCACGACACATGTCGATGTCACTTATCGTAACGAGCCTTTGAACGGTCTTGGGCTGCAGAAGTCCGGAGACGCGCCACGCGCCATGCCTCCTCTGCGCGACAGAGTGTCTCTGCAAGGGATGGGTTTTCTTTCTCGTAAAACGGGAGAATTTTGTCGAGGGTAGTACGTGGCTCACTGATGTAGAGAAGGTAAAACGGGCTAAAGCCGGTGGTCTCTTGTAGCGCAGTGTTGTAGGCGTAGGTCATAAACGGTAAAACTTCGTCCCAGTTTTTATGCTTGGAATCAATGTCCATAGCGAGCATGTTAATGAGCGTCCTGTTGACACGCTCAGTCAAACCGTTGGTCTTTGGATGGTATGAAGTGGCGTGACAAAACTGGGAAGCAGACCGGCAAATCAACTCTTCCACGACGTCCCCTACAAACTGCCGGCCACGGTCGCTGATGATGGCACGAGGGAGCCCATGCCGGAGGACGATGTAGCATAGCAGGAAGTCACAAACGTGATCGGCTGTTGCGGCAGAGATTGCTGCGGTTTCAGCATACCGAGTGAGATGGTCTACACAGACTATAATTCAGCGGTTCCCAGTGATAGATTGTGGAAAAGGCCCCATCAAGTCAATACCGACGACCTCAAAGGGAAAACATGGAGGCGGTATGGGATGGAAAAATCCTGGCTGCGCACTTGTTTGACTCTTGTACCGTTGACAAATGCTCACAGCTGGTCGCGTATTTAGCTGTAGCCTGACGCATGCAGGGCGCGTAGAAATGTTTCAGTGTGCGGTGATAGGTCTTGGCGAGCCCCATATGCGCAGATGTTGGATCGTCGTGCATAGCTTGCAGCACGTTGGGTCGCAATGATTTGGGGACAACCAAAAGTAGGCAGGCCCCCTTTGCAGCGAAAATTCGCTTGTGAAGAATGCCATCCTGCAATATGATGGTTCTTTCTATAGACATTTTATATTGTACTGACTGTATACAGCTGAACAAACCATCCTTAAGATGATGAGACTAACGAGGAGTAATTGTGGAAGGTAAATTGAGGAGCACCGCACTGAATAGTGTCTGAATAGAATTGGGCAAAAGCACATGTGCTGGCGGTATTTGCCTAGGTCGGTTAAGCCCATTCTTGATTTTCATTCCTGTCACTCAAAATTAGTCAAGAGTGGTGTCGCCACTTTATGTCTGGAATCTGGTTTGTGAAAGTCCCGCATCAAATGTCGGAGGCCTTTGATGGCCAGCTCACTAGGCTTAGGTTATCAAACTTTCCAGAAAGAAAGCTGGGTCTTCTAAATAAAATGTTATTAAAGAAACTTGAAACAGGGCTGTAGTGACACGGTGGGCAACAATAAGGGTTTTCCCTTCATGTTTATTCCATATCTTCATACCTTCTCCTACCGGATGAAAGAGGTGGGAAATAGATTTGTGTTAACGTGGTTTATTTTTTGTTCAGGTATAAGTTTGGCCAAGTCTACACAGTGGTGGATAGGAAAATTAAAGGCAAAGCAAAGAAATGCAGTGAATGTGATGTTAATCACCGGGAAACATTAGTAGAATGTGGAAAGGGTGCAGTGTATCTCATCCCGTTGTCATGTGGTAAGTGCTATTACGGGCAGACCGGGAGGTGTTTGAATAACTGACTAATGGATCACAGGGCATCGCTGATGGCCCACTCTTCTTCGAATCTGTGCCTACATTGCAAAGATTGCAAGTGCCACTCATTACTTTCTGTAACAAAGGTGGTGTCCTGGCACCGAGATAGGATAGAAGTGGCTGAGGTTTTTTATATCCACAAGTATGGCGACACGTAAGTCGCGAGGCCTTCGGTCACATTGCACCAACTAGAAATAGATTATCTAACTGCCAACCTTTAATCTTTCACGTCTTTTTTTTCGCTATTTATATTTGAGTTTCCTTCAATAAGCTTTCAGCTGCTAGTCTGCGCCTAGTGTGTGTGTGTGCCTTCTCTGTTTCTTGTCTCTTTATCACGCAGTTTTTGTAGTTATAGTTCAGTCCTCTTAATATTGTCTGACGAGTGCCTGCTCGATGCTGGCCCCATGCAAAGGAGACCTGCATTCTGTCGTCATGCAGCTTCCATGCAGTGGAGAGCATGAGGCGTGGCATTGACCCCCGGGCTGCGAGTGTGGCCGCCCTTCATCTCATAGTGCGTCACCATCCAAAGTTTGTTGGTGCGCTGGTGGCTGTCAGCATCGATGGGACTTACGGTTTGTACCCTGAGCATGTTTGTCCAGATGAATGTGCCTATGACAAACAGCTTCACGGATGGTTATTTCAGCACGACTGCAAAGGGCACCTACCATATTTTCTCACATATTATTCTACTCTGCATATAACCTGCACCCCTAACCTTAACTCTACAGTAATAAACAAAAAATGCACATAAATCATGCTTATAACTAGCACCCCCCTCCCTTTAAGCACATTCAAGCTGGTGCTGTCTATGCTTGCTATCAGCAGGCTGGCTCAATAGCTATGACAAGATGGAGACTGTATTGCAGTAGACTTCATTGCAGTGGCTATTGCTTTATGCGAATGGGACAGTGACAGGTAGTGCCTGTTCTCTTAATGCAGCAGGTGAGGCTCAAAGTCACATTCTCTGAAGACAGAAATGCAACAATCCTGGTAGTTTGTCTTCTTTTGATTCTCTACTCAGATTGCTAGAGCAAATGGATGCAGGCATCGGAGATTCACTGTTGTTAGGTCATCAGAGCAACATCTACAAAACACTTTGAAATGTTTTGATAGAGCAGAGCATTTTTCTGTGGCTTGTTCGGGAAGGAAATGAAGACCTGCACGTGTTGCTTACTGGCAGACTTCTTGCCGGTCACAAACCTAAGATGCCATTTTCAAGTTTGAACACTGTTGCACTAAATGCACTTCGTGCCATTACTGTGAGTGGCAGTGACCAACAAACTTCTTTGTGAATGAATGACACAAATTCGATTGCACTCATACAGCAGGCCTCTCCTTCCTCTATGGTTTCCTAGGGAAGAGCTCGCAAACCGTGTGCGTAGTTTTTACAGGTGGAGGGCATTTCACTGTGTAGACAAGATAGTCAGGTGATGGAATTTGGACAGCACTGTGCCTCTCAGTGCGAGTGTTAATTGCAGGCAACTTCAATTCAGGATAGACGAAGCGAGCCATGTGATAGGTGTGAGGAGGAAACAAGAACAGAGCAGAGTGAGTCGGGAAACAAATGTTGAAGACATCTCAGCCTAAATCAAAAAGCATTGCCAAAACATGTAGCGAGAAGCCTGGATAAGCACTGGTGATTATTGAAGCCATAACTTTCAATTTACACTCATAATTGGTATTGTGGGTTAATCCTTGGGTGTTCAAAATCGAGCTGGCAGGATTTCAGTGCATTTGATCGAGCATAATGAATATTTTTTGGCCCGAAAGTCTCATAACACTGCTGCACTCTCGAGCCATGTCTTGACAAGCTGCTTGTTTTGCAAGCACCTGTATTCCGGCCAAAGATTTTGTTTTGTGGTCAGCTGTGCGTACAACAGCAGAGCTATTTCAGCTTTCTTCAGCTTGACATTGAATGATTTGCAGTGGCTCAAACTTTGGTTGAAGCACCACACCCGCCATGGTGGCTGCCAGCAGTGGCCAAGGTTCATAACTTCATCTCATTTAGCCACTAAATAGTATTTTGCAGTTAATTTTTCTTATAGGCACAATAGACATTCTTGTATTTTCCACTGAAAACGGCAATTTAGTGGGTGACCGTTTCATAGCTCCAGAAGATGGCATGCTGAATTCCAAGAGAAGACAAGCATGCCGATGGGGAGGCAGGAAGTTGTGTTAGCAGATGAGAAGTTTATTGAAATAACATGGTCGCAGTAAGCACAGAACTGGCTTAATCGACGAAACATGCAAGAGGCCTTGCACTAAAAGGCGTGTTGTCGTTCATGCTTGTGTGTTGTGGCTTTTTCGCACTTTTCTTTAAGCATAGTCACGCTGAATATGATGGTAATAGCATAAGCACGTCAGTGTTCCCACTGAGCTGCCATCAGAGCAGGGCAGAGTAAACATAATGCTATCACCACCTAATACCAATATCACACGATCTGGCCTAATTTGTAGAAAATTTGACGATCGTGATTGGCTTCTGTTCTGTTTACTGTGGAGAGGTTGAGGTCCATATTGCTCGGCTGCTTCATATCAATAAGTTCTGCAGCGAAAAAAAGAAGAATAATACAAACAGTACCCAAAAATGAACAATGAGCAAAAAAAAAAAACATGATAGCACACTGACACCAGTTCAATTATCATGCCAATGTACAGTTTGCTTGCAACAGTTCACACTGTCATAAAATGTTCACACGCACACCTTTCCGTTTCTACTCTCAGTATATGCACTAACACGACATTTCATATATGTCAACCCCTGGCTGTCAATCACAGGCTTTTATCCAGCCCTGTCTTTACTAGGAATTCTGTCAGTAAGGTGTTCGCCTTTCTTATATACATCTATTTGTCATTTCGAGTACTTGGAAATTTCTAATAATTTATAATGAATCAAAGCGAATTCAAATGCGCGCCGGAGATGGTATGGCGAATTACTTTTGAGATATCTGATCTCGTGTGGGCAATTAGCACTGCACTACGCGACGTTCCATTTGGCAAATAATATCCTACACAGATGTGTGGCACAATGGTCGCAGTGCACTCAGTGTGGTCTGTGCTTTCTTTCATTGCAGGCGCCGCTTGCCATGGCATTCCATCATTTCCTTATTCAGTGGCAAAGCCAGAATATGGCACTGCTGTGGTGGAACACGTCCAGTGCACCAACTGAGCTTTTTCAGAACTAGCAAGAAAAATTTCATCCCAATCACAAGCAAGAGTTTTAAAGCACTGACTTCATCTTGTTTCTGCAGCAAGGGGACTCCATGCTTTGACGTGGTGTTGCGACAAACCTGCTCATGCTACAAAGTCACATCTAGCATGTCGTCAGAAGCTTTCAAGACAATGCAGCGAGAATCGCATATTACTTGTTTTCAGCATTAAATCTGTGGGACATTGTTGAAAACTCGCTTGCTTTATAAATGCTGTGTGTATTAGCTCTCACATCGCAAAGCTCTTCTGTACTGATCATCTCTTGGCAGAGCATTTCTTGCAGAGAAAGATTTCTCTGTGACTCATTTCGATGGCGTCACTTCAGTTTCCAGCCATGGTGGCTGCATTTCAGTGGGGCTAGTGTAGGCTTGTGTGAATAGTAAATTTTAGGTTTGCAACGAATAGTGATTTGGTCAAATAATCTTGAATCGAACTTGGATAGTATATGTCACATGTGTTATAATCGAAAAATGAGCACATCTGTCATGACCCAAATAGTTAACTTGCACAATACTTAATTTGAAGTTGACACAAAGGGTATACAGATGTTTTTTTTATGGTTCAAAGAAACTGCAAGTAACCTTTAACGATAGTAGGATTTGACTTCCGGTAAAATGCAAGTGGTAGTCTGTGAAATATGATCGGTTTAATATTTTATTTACTTATAGTATGTAAGTGGATATAAGAAGCCTTTAAACTCTAGAAAATTATGAATTGAGGTCGGAGTAATATGTTGATTTAATCTTGAAGTGGGACTTGTTGTTGACTTGTCTTGAAGTGGGACTTGTTGATTTAATCTTGAAGCGGCAGTGTCGATTTCTCCTGAATAGGTGTATTCACAGTATAGCATCCCTCCACTGCAATGAAATCATATTTACATGTCTTGATATACATTTACTTCTTCATTTTAAATACTTGCAAGTTTCTAATATTTTAACTTGAATGAAAGCAAATTCATATACTGTAATACTGTCGAATACCCTTACAAGAGACGCAGGTGTAATAGACAAATGAGTATAAAAGACACTGCAGCAAGGCTTCATTAAAATAGGCGCCAATAAGAAAATTCATATGTAGGACCCTGTGTATAATAGACGAGAATTGTTCCTGGTACATGCCTTCTGTAAAGGGGTTCAACTGTATATTTATTTAAATATTCAAAGTGCTTGAATATTTGCACAAGCCTAGCAAAAAAGCTCGCATATTTAGGTTCAGATACATGGCAAAAACTTGAAACAGCAGATAATTGCGCAGAGAGGCTGTGCAGGCAAAGCGTAAAAATTATTTGTAGAAGTGGGTTAAAAATCATCTTTATTTTGAGCGAAAATTTCATTCTGGGTGAAAACTGCTATATTGGCCTTCAGAGAAGCAAGGGGATTCAAAAGAAGGTAATAGTATTGTTTTTGACAATCATTACTGGTGGTTTGTACCAAAACCCTTTTTCTTTTTACCTTAGCTGTTCAACAGCCTCTTGGATTTGTGAAGATCTCTGCTGCTCTGGCTTGAATTGCTTAAAATTACTTGTGTTTTAGGACAACGAATGTTATGTTTTAAAATTTACGGCATGCCTTGTAGCCTTTACACTCCTGCAAACTTTGAAAGCACCAGTAAACAGACTCTTTTTTTTTTCATCTCCCAAGAAAGCTTGTGAAACCATGCCAAAAGTTGTACTGATAAGGTTTTATGAATATTGTGAGAGACATTTTGCACAACAAACTAAGGACAGGAAAGGAAGAAAAATCATCAGACTAGAGCAGTTTTTTTAGGTTGCTCTGGAATAGCATACGCCGAGGCAGCTTTAAAAAAAAATTCGCTTGTCGCCTGTTTTTTCTTCCTTTCTTGTCGCTGGTTTTCTGCGCAAGATGCACCTCACAATAAGTTGCCAACTCACGCAAGGCTTAAGTGTTATAAATATCACAGGGCTCAGCACTGCTAAGATGTTTTAATTTGGAGAAAAAATTTCGGCACCTCTCTCCAGTGTGTACAGAACTCATCATTTACGAAATGACAAAGTTGTCTGTAAACAACGTTACGTAGCTTCAACGTCATCGATTGGTCCTCTGCACTACGAAATGGCGCCTTGACCCGGCAATGATGTGGTTCTGGCTGCACGTTTACTGCACTTATTCGGAACAGCATCGGGGTGGGGGGGGGGGGGGAGCCTTGTTCAGTTGGCTGCGTGCCGGTGGCATTGCTGGCCTCGTGTTACATTGGCAAAGTGGGTGTTGTGGCAACAAAGAGCTACACCTACCCCTCTTCGCTGCAAAAAAAAAGGCGGGGGGGACTGTGCTCTGATGTTGTGTCTGGCCACATCGGCGATATCAGAGCACAGTCGCCTATGTATAAAACCAATGTCATAGCACTACCGTACTGTGATGTACTGTACATCATCCGTCCATTCTCCGAGCGCGAGTTGGTGAGAAGGTGAAGCAGCATTCAGGTTTAAATTTGACCCATTTCCACAATGGGTGGCATTGCACATTTAGGAAATGTGATTGTGAGCGCCCAGTGTATGAATTGTGCTCGTCAGCTCAAAATTGTCAAACCTGGTGAGGGTCTCTTTAATCGTAGAACTTGGGAGAGCCAGAGAATAATAAGTTAGGGTGAAGTATATGCTGCTCTGTAGTAGCAAATGATTTGCACCGCAAATAGAAGTGTGGATAAAGTTAATTCAATAAAAATTTATCCAACAGAGGCCAAAGTATCAATCTTACATTCATCCTGCGAGTTGTTACTGCTGTGTGGACATGCAGATGCGCTCACTGTTATAGGGAACACCCTATAATCATTTGCACTGTTAAGCACTTTCTTCGTCTAACACCTGAGTGCACAGCATGTTTAGGTTTGGTTGATGATGTTTGTGAGAGTGTTGGCATGCGCAATCCTTGAATCCTTGCAGAAAATTGTGAGAAACCCCTTTAGCTGCATCTTGGCAGCTTTATTCTAGTGTTTGTTGAGCCTCTCATTAACGCATCTATCGGTTTGTTCTACACAGCCTGCACCACACGTTAGTGAGATCCGGTGGATGACTCCTGTGTTGCATGCTACAAACCTGTTACAGTGGTTATTTTCACACACATTTCTTTGCGCCCTCCAGTTTTGTCTTTTGGCAAAACTGCTTAGCTTGTTTCGCACCGAAAAAACGATATTCAAGTTGCAACACTGTGGTAATTTCTTCAGGTTTTCCTTGCAGTACGCAGAAGAATTACAGTGGAGTTCTTTATTGAAATCTCTATTTGCATGTACAGTCAACATTTACAAACATTTCAATCATGATGGCACAGCCATGCATTATGACAGTGAGTGTTTCTAAAGAATGTACTGCACATTCCGCTGTTAGAGGAAACACTGCAGTACCTCACAGCTGTGCTGTGAGAAAGGTGTGAGGCAACAAAGAGTATGCCTCATCATGTGCTCAAGGTGGTCCACCCTATGTACGGCTTACACAGAAGCCTAGGTAATGTTTCAGCCGCACACAGTCGTTCCATGCATGGTTAACGTCTCCTTTCCGTAGCTCGAGTCATTGTAGCTACACAGGTTTTGGCAAATAAGACAACGGGCTAGGTCAACAAAACAACGCTTTATTGCTTCGTTAGCAATAGCACGTAAATATTGCATAGAGGGGCTGTCTGCTCTAAGAAGATAACCAAAGGGTAAACGCTGACTCCTTTGGTCATCGAGGTCTTTGGCTTGTAGTGGGTATTGGGGTTCTACTCGGTCTGGTGACTTGCAAGAGAGGTAATAGTGGTGGTTAGAAGAAAAAGGAAAAGGGCACCTAATTTCTGTCAGGCATAAGGTGACACGTCGCAGAGACCTTGTCGCTGTCGGCACGCTCGTTTTGATGAACCTACCGGTTTCCCTCTTCCCACCGAAGGTTGGTTCGCTCGCTGAGGGAGGGTAACCCCCCTCCCGAGCCGGGAAAGGTGGATAGCGGGAAAGGGGGATAGCGTATGCGGGCCACGGGGTGACCGGTCCCTTCGAAAAAGGCTTGATTGTTTCGTTTCTCGAAGGGACAGACATATGTCCTTGCACATAGACTGCCACGCTGCCGTAAAAAGGAAAGAAACTATGGGCACACATGCTTCTGCACAGTGCATGCTGTGCAAGCTTGAAATGCTGAGACATTTTGCATTCCCTGTGATAAAGCACTGCTGCCACTTTTTATGCTATGACTGCTCAATGAATGCATGCACTTTTTTGAAATCTTACATGGGACAACTGTTGACGTTAGAGACTGTGAATAGCGAAATTTAAAACTGACTTGTTTTGTGACGCAAGGGCAATTAGTGACCAAAGGCAAACTTAACTCTATACGAATAGAAAAAATAGTGATCATACTAAATTGAATGCAAACAAACATGGAATACTATTCAAATAGTTCAAATAAGTATAGAATTTAATTACTATTATTCAAATGCTATTCAAATAAGCATCGAATACGAACCTAAAAGTCTACAACATTTCAATTCAAATAAATGTGTACAAATCTTAACAAAGTAACATTACCATTACAGTATTTAACCACGAAAAGATACCACAATTATGTAAATTAATTGGGGTAAGCTCACATATAGTAGCAACCAAGTCTAGCCTTTAAGGCATTTGTTACCTATGAGATGAAATCGGCAGTTACTACAGTCATCACTGTAGTACTTTGTCACCAGCATTTAAATAACACTAAGACCTAAAAGTTAATAACATTTCATAGGTAAGCATCATGAATCTCATAATAGTGATAGCAAGCTGATGAGTAATGACATATTGGCTCAAGTAACACTAGAGTTCTAAGTGAAAGATTCTTCATCTGGTGACAAGTAAGGCTCAAACATTCCTGTAAAAGCTTCACCTGCATGCATCTTGATAATTTACTTACCAGAACAACGAATATTTTTCACTCTTCTTATGTATTGTTTCTTTGATATCTCCTATCAGTGCTAATTATTTGAACAGCATCAGAAAAAGAAAACAAACGTGGCAGTCTGCGGTGGTGGCATCTTGATAGCCTCTTATAACAGCGTCCAATGCTCCATAGTTGATGTGCGTTGTCCATTAAAAACGTTTTTTGTGCATTGCCAAGCGTCTGTTATAACAGGTGGTTATTATATAATCCACCTGTTATAATTGGAGCGTGTTATTGCCCACCTGGTGCCGATACATGTTTCACAAATCATTTCCATGATGCAATTTATTCTGTCACAACTGCATTTCCAAACATCCCACTTAATTTA